ATTTCTGACGGGGGGACAAAACTGGGGGGGGGGGTCATAAATTATTTCTGGGAGGGGCCATATGCCCGCCTGCGAAACCCTGTGTCTCCACCACTGTTTTCAGACTTATTTTTGGCACCTTAGCCTGGTTGAAAAATTTTTTTGGGGTGACATTGTGTCACCCCTCCTGTGCTGGCACCCGGGGCGGTCCGCACCCCTTCCCACCCACCTTAGCTACTGTAATTGACTTCCTTGATCCTGACCGTGACTGATCTGGGTAACCGACATTGAATTCTGGACTAAACCCTTTATTTAATCTACGGGGTTAGACAGTTCTCGTTCCACTGCTCATGTCTTCGGATATCGTTTAGTTTTTATTTTGTACTGTTTCAGTTGTTGCTCGCCCATTTTCAATGCCTGGCCCAGGAATTGAACTCACAAATTCACAAAGCAATACTTTTATCCTCTAGGTCATTTCCCCTTAGGACAGTGTGTAGTTGGACTCGGTGGAAACAAGCAAGTAATAACTGAAAAGTACTAAGAGTACTAGGAGAAATATCCGTAGACGTGGGCAGTGGGACGAGAACAGTCTACGGCTGTAGATTAAATAAAGGTTTCAGTTCGGAATTTTATGTAGGTTATATAGATCGATATACATCTGAGGAAGGCCAGAGATTACAACAGCCGAAATGTTGTGATAATAACAACAAAGAAAAGGACAATAGTCTGACTATAAATATTGTAAATAATGATAAATCCCCGTCCCAGAAATTTAGACAAAAATCTTTTTTTCGCTTTTGAACAATCAGCTTTTCAACGTATCTTTCTTGAGAGAATTTTTCAAACGATTTTACTTTTCAGGTACTTGTAAAACCCCTTGAGACAAGGTCAAGTTCGAAATTCAAAAAGTAAGCCCAGCTCGATTTCGCTTTTAAATATTTGCAAACAGGACAATAAGAGACAAATTGTTTACTCTACGTGGCGTTTTCCTTCAGGACTTGAGCGATCATGACTCTTCACAATTTCTTGTTCTTTGTAGCTCTAGGTAAAAATTTTCTTTTTTCTATCCATGCTAACCCCTTTACTGCCAACGAATCCCTAAGCACAGGTTATTCAATGTTTTACTCCATCGTTCTTGCCATCAATATGACCTATGGGTATCAAATTCTCCAAACACCCTTTCCTCATTACATACCTTAGAAACTTCAGTTTTCTCTTTCTGGTTCTGAGTATAAGAGGCCTTTTTGTTTCCATTTTACTTGTTTTTTTTTATTCCTCTTCAAACTAATACTCATCTTTGTTTCTTTTGATATTTTAATTATGATAATCCTGAACTACATTTAAAACTGAAACAAAATGAAAACTTATGCTTAACATCAGAAAAAGAAAAAAGGGGGCTTAGAAAATCTAATACTCACAGGGCAAGCTGAAGACAAGGGGGACAGAGGTAAACAACGCATAACCTACTTAGTCGGCGTAACTAAATGGATGACGGAACAGGGTTTAGGTGAAATAAAAAGACAACATTTATTAAGAGATACGGAGGACAGGAAATTGTGGAGAGCCATGATTGTCAACGTCCTGAAGAAACATGGTACTTAGAAGAAACAGAATTCTCCACGATACTTACCTCGGTGCACTCCTCTCCGATTTTCCCCTGAGGACACTCACAGGCGATGCTCATTGAAAGAATACTTTGCTCATCTGTACACTGACCCCATTTAGGCTAAAATATATTAAAAATCATGATTACATTTAAATTCTAATTCCTTCTTTGGAACGATGTGAAAATAAATAAAGATTTAATATTTGGGATCTTTTCTTCACCCTAATCAATGTAAAGTTACTTGTCACAAATATTAATTCACTCCAAGAAATTATCAATTTTAAATCAAAGTTTTTTTTTTTTATCAAATTTTTGGCACTCTTTTGAATTATAAATTTAAATCAAATTTGCCTCGCAACAACTTCAACCCTGAGAATGAAAGATTTTCAAAATTAGGGAAATATTCACATTTCGTAAGTGCAGATAATGAGGAATTTTTTACAATTAAAAAAAGAAAGAAAGAAATCTGTTGTTGATTTGTTTATCGAGATGAGCGTAAATATAGACCCCACACTTAGAATTAGTGCATCTGGGTCATCCACATTTGGGGCGTTGGCAGAGGTCATCCCAACCGAAGTGCCATGGAAAGGAGAATTTGATCTGAATTTTAGTTAATATAAATTCTTTTTATTTTGGGGTGAATTAACAGAAAAGATCCAACACTTGTAGTAAAATAACAGATTTCTAGTTTAAATTTTTCAATTTGTTCGAACTGTTTTCTTTTTTGTTAGCCCTTAAACGGCAGGCAAAGGTTTCATCGCCGTACAACGGCAAAAGGGAAGAAAAACGAGGAATGTTCGTTTTTTTAAAGGATAGTTTTTATGCTTATTTTTACTTTCATTATATACAAAAATATAGAGTGTATATTAACGCTTCTTATAAAAATAAAGAAAAAAACAGGGAATCAAGGCTCCTCAGTCATTTTATTTTGCACCACCGCTCTGGTCACCACTCCCCTCCGTCTCACAATTCTGGTTCAAGATGACATTCAAGGTAGAATAGTGCAATGGCTTGCCGGTTTCTTTTGCACAGGGTTTGCTGAGGCTACTCCATCCCTCCTCGCAGAGGTGGATTTGTTTTTGAAGTAACCTTCTACTAGCCTTTACTTAAAGAGGCAGAACCTACAAGGCGGTTTGAATTCAGAGTTTTCTTTTCCTAGACTCGTTGCCATCTAAGGATATAGGACCCAGTCTACACTGCTATTTTACCCATAGTCGGGAGAGAAGAATTGGATTCAAACCTTTCGAAGGGGTAATGGCACGAATATAATGAACTCGACTAGAATTCGAACTCGACTCTCCGATTCCTCAATTGGAGTCACTAACACGTTAGGCTCGTAGGTATTTAGTCTGTATCCCCACTAAGACGTAAATAGTTTTCTAAGCGTAGCTTAGATTTGGCACAAGGCCTTAAGTGTGGATACCAAATCAGTCGGGTTTCGATCCCGGCTTGAGGCAATCGGATTTCTAGTCACACCGATGAGCTGTGAAACAGCGAAACAGTCTATTTGTGGATGACTATATATATATATATATATATATATATATATATATATATATATATATATATATATATATTAAAGAAAACAGACCACTTTAAGGTACCATTATAATAATTTATTTCACCAGAGCCCTTTAAAGGACTCCGGATCATCAGATAGCACTTCCAAAAATGAAACGAAAAATGAAATGAAAATTGATGGGTAGTGTAAGTTTTTGTAATTTAACAGAGAGTGTAAAAGGAATAGTTAAAGAGACATTGTAGAGTATAGGGAGGGATTAATTTCATATCTCTCTCAATCATACTTAGTATTGGGGGAGGAGGAGTGACCAGACCTTGACCTATTTAAACGGTTAACTTAACGGAAGTGATATATTGAAATGGGAGGGGAGAAAAGAAAAAGGAAAAAGAAAGAAGAGAGAGAGAGAGAGAGAGGGGGTAAAGAGAAAGAGGCTGTAACTGGGTTTTAGCAATTTATGTAAAGTATAGATTTTAATGTTTGATAGTAATTTAAATGTCTAAAAAAATCCACGAAGAAATTAATTTGATGTTTGCTAGCAATTTAAATATTTAACTTTTTTACAAATAATTTAGGGATTTAATATATGTTAAATACTGTATTTATTAACACATTTAGAGAACATATTAAAAATTTTTTAAATTATAACAGTTTTTTTACCCGATTAATAGTACTCTTTTAATATTGTAAAAGACAGTTAAGGTAACATCTTTATCAGTTAGAATCTAATTTATGAATTTAATTTGTAATTATTTTTATATGGGCAATCTTTCTTACTTAAAGTTTTGGTTTCGAATTAAAATGGAGTAATATTTGAGGGTAATATTAAAGATTTTGTTTTCTTCTTATATATATCACATACATATTCATGCAAATCCTATATAAACATACGTTCATTTATATGCGCAATTAAACACATAGACACACATGTAGCGATATACACAGGTTCCTATACATATTCATACATAAATTACATACACATACATATCGTTGTGTATAAGAGAAAAAACGAAGTTTCACAACATGACCAAGAAGAGAGGAAAAATAAAGAAATAAAAACATTTTGAAGATGATCCTCTCGTCAGATTTTGGGGATTTGATTGGGCCGAGAATTTTTCATCACATCCTCGTGCAAATGTTTCTGTAAGTATATGAGCTTTTAAATATACACGGCTTCTCGAAATATTTTTTTTTTAAGCATTTCACCCCAAGCAAGGCGGGAAGCCACTAGGACGCAAGGGGTTACAGAAAATTTAGAGCAAGATCAGATAGGAGTGATAGAAGAAAGGATGAGGGTAGTGGATAGATCAAGGCAACTGGAGATGTCGATTGACATTACACTTGAATAGCTGGAGATTATAGCTCACAGGGAAACAGGGGAAGGGAAGGGATTTCCACAGGCGAGAGGTGCGAGGCATGAAGCTATTAGAGTAGAAGAGACGGCTACATTTAGGAGTTTCGACAGTGAAGGGGTGAGAGCGGGATGCCAGCCTCGTAGGGCGCTGGAACTCATGGCGTCTGGGAACCAGAGACCCCATTATAAATATATCATGTTTTAAATATCTACATTCTTTGTAAATACATTGTTTTAAACAAACAAGGCCAGCAAACATATTTTACTCAAAACAAAACAAAATACAAAACAAAAACAAACTTTCATACCCCTTGAGCTAAAAAAAGATGAAATCAAACCTTTTCAGCGTCGCGATCAGCGGTGACACACCAACTTTCGCATTTGATTCCGGCTCCTGAAACTCTTCTGGCATATGAATTTGGTTTGGGTCCAAAAACAAGGACTTTAGAGTCGCCGCCACAAAATTGTCTCTTATCTCCTGGACAGGGCGAATCACATTCGCTGTAAATCAATAGAAATCAAATATACTTTGATCTACAAAGACACATACCCGAGTTTATAACAATCATTCTATCTATGTTTATTCGTATCTATCTATCTATCTATCTATCTATCTATCTATCTATCTATCTATCTATCTATCTCAGACTGTTCCTATCTATCTATCTATCTATCTATTTTTCTCGGTCTATTCATATCTCTCTATCTTTCTCAGGCTATTGATATCTATCTATCTATCTATCCATCTATCTATCTATCTGTGTCATTCAAATCTATCTATCTATCTCAGACTGTTCCTATCTATCTATCTATTTTTCTCGGTCTATTCATATCTCTCTATCTTTCTCAGGCTATTGATATCTATCTATCTATCTATCTATCTATCTATTTTTCTCGGTCTATTCACATCTCTCTATCTTTCTCAGGCTATTGATATCTATCTATCTATCTATCTATCTATCTATCTATCTATCTATTTTTCTCGGTCTATTCATATCTCTCTATCTTTCTCAGGCTATTGATATCTATCTATCTATCTATTTTTCTCGGTCTATTCATATCTCTCTATCTTTCTCAGGCTATTGATATATATCTATCTATCTATCTATCTATCTATCTATCTATCTATCTATTTTTCTCGGTCTATTCATATCTCTATCTTTCTCAGGCTATTGATATCTATCTATCTATCTATCTATCTATCTATCTATCTATCTATCTATATTTCTCGGTCTATTCATATCTCTCTATCTTTCTCAGGCTATTGATATCTATCTATCTATCTATCTATCTATCTATCTATCTATCTATCTATCTATCTATATCATATCTCTCTATCTTTCTCAGGCTATTGATATCTATCTATCTATCTATCTATCTGGTGTGAGCAAAAAACACAGCGCCCTCTTTTTAGAAAACGATCCAATGAACCTATTCCATTTTCAACGTGCCGTGTCCCTTCAGGACGTTGGTGACTATGGCTCTCCACAATTTCTTGTCTTTTTAAGCCTTTAGTAAATTTTGTTATCTCTCGTAATCTCTGTTCTGCCATCCATTTACACAATCTTTTAAGGTTTGTTATGCCTACCCTCTTGCCTTCAATATGCCCCGTGAGTGTCAAATTCGCTAAGCCCCCTTTCCCTATTAGGTGCGTCAGAAATTTCAGCTATCACTTCCTGATGTTTTTTGGTAACTGTTGTATAAAACGATATAATAGCCGGCCCTTTCAGATACTCTCACATGGTGTCGAATGGTTTCGCAGGCCCCCATGGCACGTTGATGAAACGTCTCTGCATTATTAATGTTTACTGCATAAACCAATTGATTTAGATGGCTCCACAGATAAAAGTCCAAAGGATTCGGGGTAACGTGTAAGTCATGGTACTGGTCCTCTCCTACATATCCATCTTTTATGGTAGATGTCAGCCAATGCATTGAGAACAATGTGACTAAAATGTACTGGAGTCCCATCATGCATGAACCACGTGCGTCTTTGTATTAGCAGGAGTACATCCTCTAGCAGGTCTAGAATCTGTTCGAAACAAAGTCCCTGTAGACAGCTCCTGTAAGACGTGCTGGGAGAACATATGGACCTACCAGACAGTCACCTACAATTCCAGCGCACACAATAATCGTAAACTGATGCTGGTGTTTAACCTCTATTAAACTATAGGGATTCTGATCTGCCCACAAATGTTGGTTATGTAAATTTGTTATTCCATTTCTTCCAAATGTTGCCTCATCCGGAAACAAAACTAAAGAGACAAACGATGGATCGGCAGTTTGTGCAATAAACCATCGGCAAAAGTTCACCCGTGGTCAGCGATCGGAGGGGGAAAGATAATGCATATATTGCAAATGATACAGATACAGAAGCTGCTCTTGAAGTACCCTCCATACTTTACTATGAGATGTACGACATGCTAGGGTTAATTGACGGGTACTGATATGTGGATCGTCTCCGACCGCGTATAGAATGTGTTCTTCATGGTCAGGCGTACGATCGGATCTCGGTCTTCCTCGATCCATAGTTTGTGGTGCCATGGGTCCTGTCTCAGCAACGAGACGATAAACACCAGCAAAGGTTGGATGAATCGGTTGCCTTTGGTCTGGAAACACAATCTGATACAGCCGTGCAGCCTCACATCCATTACCATTCTCGGGGCCGTACGTAAAAATCATATCTACCTTCTCACAATATGAATATCCTGTCATTGTTAAACAGAACAGTTCTCAGTTAAATCACTACTACACGCGTTAAACATTGAAGACAGACTAGCCACAAATGTACAAGAATAACAAATGCAACCTAGTCTACATGACAACACTGTAAACTTTCTTTAAACTTAATAACTAAAAAATTATTTGCGGACATATGTTTATATGGACTTTTGTCCTTGTTTTGGTGTGAGGAACCCACCCTAAAGTTTATAAAAGTATTTTTGATACACCCTGTATATAATTTTTTTTAACATTTTGGGACCAAATAATCATTGGCATGTCACGATGTCTGCGGGAGTAGAGAGTAAATGAGTAACTCGCAATGTGACAAGAATGAAGAGAAATTAAATTTATCTTACTTATCTGGAACATATGACGTTGTAGTCACGTGATCATCACAGTAACATTGGTCACCTTTCGTTGTACCCGAGTAAATATGGGAGGCTTTACTGAAAAAGAAATCATACGGATTGTAATAATAATAATAATAATAATAATAATAATAATATATATATATATATATATATATATATATATATATATATATATATATATATATTACGGATTAGAGAGGGAAGAGAGATAGGAATAATTTTAAATCTATTTTTATTAAGATACTTAAGAGTAAAAGAGCGAGTAAGGACCAGACATTGATCTATTTAATAAGTCAATCTCTCCCTTTTCTCTCTAATTCGGAACACATCTATCAAACTGCTTCCCTAGCTCTCTCTATATCATCTTACATCAACTTAAAACTACTCCTCAAAAATGTATAGGAATTATATGGAAATTTAAAACATTTTTTCACCCTTGGAAGTGTGGTCTGATGAACTAGGTAAAAGCCATATACTTGGAGAAATAAATTATAACCAATGGACCCTTAAGGTTGTCTGTTTTCTATTTAAATTGAATTAATAATTGCTCTGTTTTGACATTGAGCTCTCTGGATTATATCCTCCTTGAGGTTATCCATACGTATTATCAAACTTTTCATTACTTTAATATATATATATATATATATATATATATATATATATATATATATTAATTGAACTATATACTTAGTTCATGACATATTAACTGAAAACACTTGTAAAAATAGAATACATGGATTTACCACATCACAAAAATAGTTCAAATAAATATTCTCACTTAAAATTTTGAAAAACTTAGCGTTGCGACTTTGCCCGTTCCGATATTGTACACAACCGTCAATAATACCACATACTCAAAAAAAAAAACATCTTTCGGTCGACAAACAATTATTTCGTCTTCAAGTTTTTGATTTTATAAGGAAAACATATGCCTGACGATGAATAAAGGATTATTCGAAAGTACTTACATTTAAAAAAAATATAAACTGGAAACAACAGACAACAGTTTTATGAATGAGGATCACATCACTCTATGGATTAACAGTATTTTAATGCATACATTATACACTACTAGCGATGGATGTCGCCAATAATAGCATTAATATTGCTGATTGATTCTATGCGTGATTATTTCTTTTTATATATATATATATATATATATATATATATATATATATATATATATATATATATATATATATGAAAATTTCTCCGATTTAACCAGTAGAGAAGACAATATTAATGAATAAAAATGACAATAGGAAAACTAGTAACTGCTGACGCGTTTCGTTCACCTTTCTTAACAAAATTACTGCTCTTACAAACAAATATACACAACAGATTCATAAAATCAAAAGAAAATGGTTGAATACATCAACACAGATATAATGACAATATTCTCCACACGTGACAAATACTGACGTTATTTTCAGTTAAAAATATGAAAATAGCGTTTCTTTCCATTCCAGTTGCTATGAATATTCTGTTTTTATTAGTTACTTTGTTCAATTAATTTCATTTTCGTATTTTGCTTTGATAAAGTCCACATTGGACGAAACGTGTCAGCAATTACTAGTTTTCCTATTGTCATTTTTATTCATTAATATATATATATATATATATATATATATATATATATATATAATTATTTATTTAAAAATATGATTTCAACACGCTACATGTTCTCATGTTTCAAAGCAAGAGCCGAAAACTTCAATATAATTATTTGAATTAAATTGAATTAATGTAAGCTCTGTTCTATCTTCAAGCGAATTTTTTTTTTGAATAAATTATTTCTGAAATTTACGTGTTTTAATAGCATATTCATTATTGAATCAAAATTTCTATGGTAACGGCTAGACCAATTGTTTAAATAAAAAGGGGTGTAAGGTGTTAATAATTTGTATCAGTATAAAGTTACATTCACAGATGTCAAGTCAGGGTAAGGTTGGGGTGTCTAAATTTAAAACGGAAGATGATTTCGCCTAGTCTGGTTTACATGTCTATGGAGATTTATTTATTTTTTTTTATTTTATTTCTTTCTGAAAGGGTTTTGTGTATATAAAAACTGCCGTAACATTTGTTTTTTGACAACATGTTCTACTTTTGATATTTCATTTTAATATATATATATATATATATATATATATTCGAGTAGGCCTGGGTACCCTACTTCTGTAATTTATCCCAAGAATCTTCTTCTCATAACCGGAAGAAGCCGGCTCAATCCGCCCAGGGTGAATGCCGCATCAGTACAGTACAGTATATATATATATATATATATATATATATATATATATATATATATATATATATATTAAAATGAAATATATCAACTTAAAATTAAAATTTAGTCTATTTATAGAAGAGTGCCGGATATCTCAGATAGAGCGTTTCTGTATATAGAGAATGCGTGCGGACGTAAGGATTTGCATGGAAACTGTCACTTTCAACCCTGAATGCGATCATCAGATCAACTTTAATTCATTAATCTGAAGATCGTAATGAGTCGGCATGCAATATTAATCCCTGTCTCCACACACTCTATTTGTTGCTGTTCGGGACAATTACTGGAAGATCCTTCACAGAGACCCAAACATTGACACGCAGCTGAAACATGTAGAAGGATTCACTCAGGAATTTAGCTACTCATTGACCTTACGATCCCATCCGATCATGGAAATGATGATGATGATGATTAAACTTTGACCTCGTCTTTAGTTGATACTTTATAGCCAGACCTATTTTTAAACTACAGTGTTGGTTTATTTCTTATATCAACGGAAGTTTTTTTTTATTAGTCGTTGAGAGTCGATGAATATACCTATACCATTTGCATGGTGGATTTTTTATTGTCCAGTATGGACCCATTAAAAAAAAAACACACCAGCTGTGTCGTAAATAATTATGATATTGGAAGCAGAACATTTTCAACATCTTCCTTCAGAAACAATTGTTCTGTAGAGTAACATAAGATTGTGTAGGGTCACTCTCCAATATTCTGAGGACAAAACTACGCTTCTGACCATTGTAACATGTTTATTTCTTATCTTATTTCAATTTTATTATCGAAAAATTAAATGTAAAAATTAATTTATTAAGTGTCTTTAGAGGCTTTTATGATATAAACTTTATTGTAAAGGGCTGTGAAAAAACGAAAATAGTTTTCATACACTTTAATAATAATAATAATATAATGAAATATAATGTACATGAAATAACCCTTGGTCTAATTGTGGAGTCATAGTTTTTAGATAATAATAATAATAATAATAATAATAATAATAATAAT